TTCTAAACACCTCCTGCCTGTGGGAAGCAGTGAATGAATTCCTTGTTTTGCTTTGCTTGTGTGTGGCTTTTGCTTTCTTTATTAGACTCCCTTGATCTCAACCCATGAGTTTTCTAGCTTTTACCCTTCCGACTCTCTCCCCTTATCCTGCTGGTGGGGGAGTGAGCAGCTCTGTTGGGTTCAGTGGCTGCTGAGGTTAAACCATGACAACAACAGGCAGGGAATTCTGGATTAATGTAGGAAGAAATCTATATACTCACTGTTAAGGGGGAAAAAAGAGCCAAGATAATACATTCTCACCATAGGGTTTGATTTGATACAGCAGAACTAAAATGTTTGAGGTGCTATTGAGGTTGGCTGTGGTATGTATCTAAAGAATAGTTTGGCAGGAGAAAAATGAAAACTGTTTCAAGCTTTTCTAACCCTGAATGATCCTGAAGCTTAAACGAACACAAAACATTAATGTTTCATTTCTAAAATGTCCTAATATAAGAAAAAACTACTTTATAGTTAGTTTTCTAATGCAGCTAACTCTAAATCTTTCCATTGAAGAGTTAAGCATTTTCATCTTTCACAATAAATGTGGAAGTCCTGCAAGAAAAGAGACATTTTGATAAGGCAGAATTCTGAACAGTAATATCAGGGAACTGCTTGGAAGATTTTCAGAAGGAATACAAGCTCATTGGTAGATAGAAAGATATTAACATCAAAATAATTTTTAAATGATCTTGGACTTCTTATTAAGGTAGAGTCATTTGACCTATGAGTTCTGACCTATGCAAAAGTGCTATGATTCTTCACATTTTTATATTGGCATAAGTTTGGGCTGTCTTCATGAAACTGTATTGCTCCCCTGCTAGAATTAAAGTTCTGTCATGGGGACATTTAATTTTCATCACTAATTTTGATTTAGATCCATGGCCTGAATTTGAATGACTCATTACATAGAATATAATGTGTAATTTCTTTTAGGTTTTCTTCTAACATGGTTTAACTTAGCATGTTTTGAAGTTCCAGGGTATTGTATTCAACTTATGTTAGCAGATCAGCATGAAAAACACTCTGTACTTGCCATAGGTGATATCTTTTGAAATGACATGGAATCATTCAGTGTTTTCAGGGGGGTTTGTGTATCACACATGCTTAAGAGCATTTAAAATCAACATTAAACTTGTCAAACTGGGTTTTTATTTCATACTTACTAAACTTATTGCCAGATAACAGGTTGTAAATTGCTATGCTTGGATCACCAGTGTTAAAAAGAAAAACATCTTGGTGTGAACACTGAGCTCTTGAATTACTTGGGTCTTTTGGTACAGTAAATTAGAAATAACACCCAGAACAGGTGATGCTGAAAGCTAAGACTGCAAAATCTTGTTAATCTAGAGATCCATCCCTGCCTGCAGGTAATGTCTCCATCACTATTAATGCAGATTAAATCATTTTAAAAACAGATCTGATAGGTCTTTGGGCAAAATCCTAGGTTAAATTCTGCTTTCACATATGCATGTGCAACCTCCATTGATTTCCTGCATCAGAGAGCAAAGCCTGATGTGTAGGCCCAGAGGTTTTGTTTTTATCACAGGGCTCCAACCAGACAACACTATAGCTTCTGCTTTTCTTTCATGTGAACAAACATGTCAGTCTCTGTCTTGTTCTCTTTCTGGGTCCAAAGAACAAAATGAATCAGAGCTGGCAGCTGTAATGAAGTACACACATTAATTTTTGTGTTTGGATTTGTGTTATGAAAGCAAAAGTCTGCAGATCCTGGGTTTGTTTTACTTAGATCAGAGCAGTTTGGATGTTCGTGGGCCCTCTCATGAGAAGGATGTTGTCTTAAAACAGTTAAGAGAAGAGCTTAAAAATCAATATTCCAGGGTAGAAGGAAATGACAAATTAGGCATATCTATGTCAGAAGATTTTGAAAAGGGATCAGATCTACAGTCTACAAAGTTTGTGTTGATAGGAGTGAAATTTTGCATTTCAGGAATTTATGCAGCCCTGGAAGTGCTGTACTGCAGTGATACAATTGGGCACCTTTCATCAGGCTGCAAAGCATCTCTTGAAAGCAGAAGCAAGAGACAGACAAGATTTTTGTCATGTCTTTTTTTTTTTTCAGCTTTGTTGTGCAGCAATATAGAAGTGGTTTTGCCTTTGTGTCTCTGTGTAGAATTGAGTGATTTGTGATGGGGTGTGGGAAGTGAGTGTTTCCCTGTCAAGCCAGAGAGCTGTGTTCAGTCAGGTTTTGTTTGTAGTTTGTGTCGCTGCCTTCTCCTCAAAGCTGCCAGCACTGCTCCTTGCAGAGCCTGGCAGCTTTGCTCCAGGGCTGCCTGGGCACACCAGGGCAGAATGCAAGGTCTGAAAAGCAGAATTCATGTTGTTAAGGAGCAAGAACTATAGCTGAGCATTTTCAACTGCAATTCATCAATAAACCATCTTTTCATTGAAGAGGTTAGAGAAGTTTGTTCCAGTTTGCTGCCCTGTTGAATGTTCTTTGGTTGGAGTGTGGGGATCTCAGTTTTTTGCCTTTGGCTATAACTGCTGAAGTACCTGCTTTGCATTCAGTCTGTATTTTAAGTGACCAAAGCTTTGTGTAATGACTGCTCAGTTATCTCTTTGAACAAAGCAGAGTGCCTCAGCTGGGTAAGCAGTGGAAAACAGGTACATAATGCAATCCAACAGCTGGCTGTGACTGTCCCCTCCTTAATTACTGTTCAGAAAAGGGCCATCAAGACTGATTCACCCCCTCACCTTTTGATGGTCCAAATAGAGGCTGCTGCCTTTGTGGTACCCTCAGAGAGAAACAGGAGATGTGAGTGATCAGTACTTCTTCTAAGCCCTAGACTTAATGACAGAGAAAAAGCCCTTTGAATTAAAAACCTAAAATGTGTTACAGTGGAGCATTACCATAAACATAGTGTTGTGTACGGTACAGTGATCACTGCAATGAAAAAGCTGTTGAAGAAGAGTAGTCGAGCAAGTTATTGGCACAGTGGTGCCTATTTTTACGCTGCTCTTCGTCATTGTTTTCAGTCTAGGAGCATTTGGCCTTTATTTCATGAAACTTGTGCATACCATAGTTCAAATGCTTTCATTGTGCTTTGCAGCCGAGCACTGTTTGATAGGATTTTATTAAAGACCTGTCTGCAGCTCAGCTGCCACAAGAAAGAGCACAGTGCCCTCTAGTTCCAGCCCCTTGGAACAGTGAAACCTGCGAGTTGGATAAACTTCTTGTGACTGTAACATCACAAAATTGTCTCCTTTTGCGCACCGTGTCAAAAAAAAAAAAAATCAGAAAAAAAGCACCAACAAAAGCTGAGAGGTTTTAAAGCAAAGCTCTGTGTTTGGAGACACTTTGACAGTGACTGAACATTGCTGTACAAAAGCACATCTCACTGCTGTTGCTTTATTTTCTTTCACAGGTTAGAATTTGTATGAACAGAGCCAATAGACAAATCACCTGCTACTAATCAACTTTAGGCCTTGATGTGCTTGGAAATGACTTAAAAGTAGCATCTGTAGCATATGTAATGAGGGAACTCAGTCTCACTGCACACTGAGCACTCCCTTTGCCATTCTTCACGTTGTCAGCCTGAATAAATCTCCAGCACAGGAGATATGTGAGGGCTCCATGTGCCATGTATGGATCACAGCAGCAGTTGGATGCATTGCTATTTCAGAAAGCTTTGGAGTTTTTCAGAGTTTCAGATCAGTCTCAGGTTTCACTGGGGTTTTTCTCTTTGCCTAGTAGGGCTGAGCTGTTGTCTCAGACCCATGTGAACATGCTCTGTTTAATTATTTGGCTCTTCATTTTGCCTGCTGATGTGAAATAATTATGAAACAACTGCCTACTAATGTGCCTTATGCACTTGTAAAAACAAATATTGACTTGGAGCTCAGTTCCTCTGGGGATGCAGCAAAGTACTGTCACACAAATCTTGGGTCAGTTGGAGCACCCTCATCATGCACTGGTATCAGTGTAGAGCACAAAGGATATTTCTAAGAGCACATAGATATTATATAAATCATATGCTAATTTTTCTAGAACAGGATATCAGTAATAATGCTGTAAATGACTAAACATGGATCATTTTGTTGTTGTAAGCAATAAAATATGCATAGAAATAACAAAAGTTTTAGTCATAGATGCCTGATCCATCTGATTACTTTTACATTTTCAGTAAGAGCTGTTCGGAATGGTTTTATCTTGGGGTTAAAATGGTTTTAAGGAGGAGTTATTGTTCCTAGATGGAAAAATGGTAGGACATGTGACCTAAAAAGAGATTCAAGAGCATTTTAATTGATACCCTTTCTTCTGTGAAGTAGGAAGGTGACAAATAATTAGTCCTCCCTGAAGCATAATTAATAAGTTAGGCTTCTGATGAAACTTCATTTAAACAAACAGTGTTTTGAAGCAGATTTTTATTTGTTACATGTGTGCTTTCCTTAGTTACCTCAGGCTATGACCACCTTACATCAGCCCATCACCAGTTAAGGCAATGCACATGTTTTTACAGGTCAGAAATAATGCCCTTCAATATTCCTCTGAGGGATGAAGCATCCAGTCCTATGAGTGACTTTTAGGATGGCCAGTTTGAAAGGGAAGGATGAGAAGGATGCTTAATTCTTTGAACTGGGCTTTTCCCCTTTTCCCCCACCCCAGAACTAGTACTGACCCAAGCTCTGCAGAAAATGCTGTATAACATTTATTTATCTATGGGGAACCTTTCCATGCTCAAAACAACCATCTCTTTTTTGGTTTTAGTCTAAAAAACGTGAGCTCTGGTAACTGAGCTGTACATGCAAATGTATGAAGCATTTCATACAGCAACAATGCAAAAAGTGAAATTTTATTCTTTTGCTTAACAGCTGTTTAGAGCTAGAGGTGGTTTTTTTTCTAGAGAACTTGTTTCATTCTGTAGCAGAAGTAACAAATACTGTGATAATTAATTTTTTGAAGCCTTTCCCCTTTCTTGTTGAAAAACTAGGTGAAATAGAGTCTTTATCTATAAGTTTCATAGACAGGACTTAACCCTAATTCTGGTTTTCTTCTCCTCAGAGGTTAAGCATGCTGTGAAGATTCCTGTGCTGATTGGGTCTGGAGTGACTCTGGAGAACGTGAGGAATTACTTGGATGCAAATGCTCTAATAATTGGTTCGTATTTCAAGAAAGAAGGTTACTGGGCAAATGCTGTTGATCCTGACCGAGTAAAGAAGTTTATGGAACACATAAGGAAACTGAGGGAATGAGTTTGGCTGTGAACAGTCTTTGTGTGTCAATGCACTATGGTACATCACAGAGAATTAAGGCACAAACGTGGGGCTGAATGGCAAATAGCAACAAATAAAAATGCACAACGTCTCCATGCCTAGCTGGGAGATGTGGTGACCCCTCACAATGGACTGGTGTAAAGAAGTTTATGGAACACATAAGGAAACTGAGGGAATGAGTTTGGCTGTGAACAGTCTTTGTGTGTCAATGCACTATGGTACATCACAGAGAATTAAGGCACAAACGTGGGGCTGAATGGCAAATAGCAACAAATAAAAATGCACAACGTCTCCATGCCTAGCTGGGAGATGTGGTGACCCCTCACAATGGACTGGTGCTCTGGTGTTTTGGGCAGCAC